CCCCCCCGGGGGGGGCGGGAGTCCCGCCGACGTGGTCCTTCCCTTGCGAGGCGGGCCTCAACTGAATCCCCATCATGTCTTGGTTTATAAGACGCCGCCGGCCACCATGAGCTCCAAAGAGGTGAGAAGCCGTTTCTGGTTTGGTTCTGGAGTGGTGGTATTAGGTTGCTGGGGACAATGGGTCCTGGTGGGGCAGGCGGGGAAGACAGGAAATGGAGTTGCAGAGATGTGTAGGCTCAAGAGCTACCCCCGCAGTTCTTTTTGGAGAAAACGAAACCCCTTTTTTGAGGTGAGCCTCGGAACCTATATTTGTGTTTAATTCGCATAGCGCAAAGATGCAGCAAATCGTGTGTTGTGGGAATCAAAACCATTTTCCGGCCACGTTGTGTAAACCAGGCCGCGACACGGCTTATATCTTTTGGCATGATGCATTGCGTGAACGCCACAGTTGTGGTTTGTTAACCCCAGTCCGATGCGTCGTGTGGATTCAGCTGTGCCATTTTGAGTCGGGGGGATAATTCTGCTGGAGCTGTATCTTGAGCCGAACAGACTTAAATCACGTTGTCTAAGCTACGATGCATCTTGGAACGCTTTCAGCCTTGCGCTTGCGCACCTTGCTGTATTTTGCAATGTGATTTATGGCTTCAAAATAGCCTATGGAGATTTTTATATCATTTCCTAAGTTTGCACCCAGCGGAGAAAATTGCAGAAGAAAAGAACTTCACGCTTAAGTAATTTTAAATAAACACTGCAGGCCGATGTGGAAATGGGCCCTGAGGACTTTTGGCTGGTTAAAAAACTTGTAAAACCGATACCGACTAGAAATACCCCGGTTTGTCCATCCCAAATGCGGTCGTTACTGGAACGTCTCGCAAAAAGGCAGTGACTGAAAACTGTTTGTCTGGCAGCCTAAGTGACATTACAAGGATTAGGAGAGAAGCCATAAAAATTATGTATTTGAGATGATAATGGCTGTCAGGGCTGTCACTATTAAAAAAAAAAAAGCAAAAAAAGCAAAGAGGATACACGAACATCAATCTGATGCCAGAAGGACATTTATTAGTACAATTAAATCATCCAATTTTAACAAGCTTCTCTAACCTTTCCTTTTTTTTCTTTTAAATTGGGGAAAGATCCTCCCTCC